ACTGGGGACTGTTTATCTATTCACTTATTGATAGGCTATTTCCAGTTTGGGGCTATTACAAAAAAAGCTACTAGGAGCATGTTCATACAAATGTTTAAGTGGGCATATATTTTAATTTTTCTTGGAGGAATACCTACAAGTAGCACTACTGGGTGATATGTACATAAGTGCACATTCAACACTTTGTGAATCTTGCAAAGTGCTTTTCAAAGTGGTTGTACCTTTTTTTTACATTCTGAATAGCAATGTATGAAAGTTCCAAGCGCTTCACATACTCACCAGTACTTGGTATTGATAGTTTTTTAATTTTAGCCAATCTTAGTTGGATGTGTAATGATTTCTCTTGTAGTTTTAATTTGCATTTCCCTATGGTTAGTGGTGCTAAGCATCTTTTCATGTACTAACTTGCCATCCATAGAGCTCATTTGCCTATTCAAATCTTTTGCCTTTTTTAATTGCGTTATCTATTTCTATTTTTTAGGTGAAAGAGTTATTTATATGTTTATATGTCCTGGATTCAAATCCTTTGTTGGTTATATGTCTTACTTCTGTAGCTTACCTTTTCACTTTCTTGGCATGATCTGTTAACAGAAAAGTTTTAATTTTTGATGAATTTTAACAGTTTCTTCATTTATAATCTGTAATTTTTGAATTATATTTAAGAAATATTTATGTAACTCAAAATCTTACGTTTTCTTCAAGAAGTTTTATAGTTTAGCTCTTACATTTATAATAGATCTCTGATCCAGTTTCATTTTAGTTTTGCATATGATGTTAGGAAAAACCATTTTTAATTTTTTTTTTGACATGTGGCTATCCAATTGTGACAGCACCATTTATTGAAAAGTTTATCCTTTCTACATTGAATTAATTGCTTTGATATCATTTTTGAAGCTCAGTTGGCCATATGAGTTTGGGTGTAGTTCTGGACTTCTTCTGCTGTTCTATTTATCTATAATGTCTATCTTTATGTCAACAACATGCCATCTTGATTACTTTCACTTTACAATAAACCTGGAAATCAGGTGTGAAGTAAGGCCTACAATTTTGTTTCTGCTTTTCCAAATAGTTTTGGCTGTTAGGCCTTATGCATTTTGAATCTTCTTCTACCTTTCAGTTTAGCCACTTTCAAGATAATGTTGTTGTCCAAGGTGCCTGCTGAGCTCCAGTCACATGTCCATGCTCTAGGCCACCCAAAGGAGAAATGGTGAAGAGCAAAATATGTCTTCCCCCTGAGGTCTATCCCTTTTGTGTGACGCTTTCCTGAGATCTCTTCTACCCACAATATTCTGCTTTCATCTCACTCTTCAAATCTTAAACTGCTGGCCGTGCCAGCTCTAAGGGAATTATGAACTATAGTATTTTGCTTACACTGTGACATTTTCACAAATTCAGATATTCTGTTAGTAAATTAGGAATGAAAACTTATGTATGGAACACAATATGAAGACTTCATCAATCCTTTAAAATTTGTTGAAAGTCCCTTTGGAACCTCATGTGTGATCAATATTTGTAAATGTTCTAGGTCACTTTAAAATAACATGCATTTGAACTATTTGATGGGCTCTGGCTTCTTCCATAACATCCTCTTTTTCAAGCACAACTTTGTTGTTTAAATCTACTGGTCCACAGTAAATTAGGTTGTATCTGTTCCATCAGGTTCCTATAGAGACGTGTTCAATTCTCCCACATGACTGTGTATTTGCCAATTCCTCCTTTTACTTTTGTTTTACTTTAAACACTTTGAGGCAGTTCATGACTGATATAACTTTGTGTTTCTTCTTTTATCCTTACAGACTGTCCTCCTTATCCTTGTTAATGCTTTTTGCCTTCAAATCTCTTTTTTAGGGTGCTAATATTGTTACATTAACTTTTCTGTTTTATGTTTTTTATTCCTTTTTCATTAAGCCTTCCTATACAGCTTTTTTTTATGTCTCTTATAATGACACTCAACTTTTCTCAACCCTTCATGATAATCCTAAACTTTTAATAGTTAAATTTTATTGGTTATGTTACTTTTATTATGATTCCTGATATATGTAGACTTTCATATTCCAACTTATTACTAACCATTTTCATGTGTGTTTTCGCATCTCTTTTTTGCTTTGTGATGGAATAAGATAGAATTCTATATTCCATCTTTTTCTTCTGCTGGTTTGGAAATTGGAGATAAAATTTCTGTAATTTCTATATACCCAGTCTGAAAAGATGACATGGATCTTAGCATAAATTTCCCCAAACAGAACATCCTGTCTTCATCATTAAGCAGTTGTTGTTTAATATTTTGTGATTTTTTTAATTATAAAATTTGAAACTATTACCACTTTGCAGTCAATATTTACCAAAACAAATTCTTCATCATTTTATGTACTCAGCATTGTTTCCATTTTGGTTTCACATTTGGTCTATCTGAACAAATCCTTGGTTCTTTTAGTGAGCATATACTCACCAAGTGTTGTATTGCAAATGTGTCTTTATTTTGATAGATATTTTCAAAAAGTTAAAAAATTGTAGGTTAACATTTATTTTTCCTCATTATAATAAATTGATTACTGCATTGTTTCCTAGAATCTCTTTGTGGCTAAAGAAAATTCTTCTTTTATTGTAACTGTCACTTTAAGATTTTTTTGCTTAATAAGCTTTCATCTCACCAAAATCTCTTTTTTCCACCATTGAAGAATGAATATATTAAAGCTACAAAAAACTTGGGAAGTTTTACACTAAACAAACAACATGTACTGTTCTTTATCACATTTCTGTCTATCTATCCATTTTCCCATCCATACATTTACCCATCTTCAGGTTTCAAACATTTCAAAGTTGCAGACATCAGTACACGTCCCCCAAACACTTTAGCATACATACCAATAAATACATGTCGATATTTTGGTATTTCTTTTTTTATTTTATTTTGAGATAAAATGTACAATGTGATATGCAAATATTAAGTATGTCATTCTATGAATTCTGACTAAAATATTCACCTATATAATTCAAATCTTTATCAAGACACAGAATACAACCTTCACCCTCGAACTTTAGCAAATCTCCTAATAGGAAAGGAGGAAGACTTTCTTTCCTGGAATATTTCTAAAGAGGGAGATGTTCTCTATTTTATGCTGATCAGGAAATAAAACTGCCCTCTCACCTGGAAGGCTACATTATCTCCAGCTTCCAAGACAGTTTGCTATTCAAACATCCTTGAAAAGATACCCTGAGGCATGTGGAAAGCCATGGAGAATTTCCTCCAAAAAGAATCACCTCACACAGCGTATTCTGGCAATTTCCCCATGAAGACACCTCTCCACCAGCCACTACCATTAATCTGACCAAGGGAGGCTAGGACCACATTCATTCATTTTTTTCCCTTCAGAATTTAACAAATTTGTAAAGCATAATTGTTTTAGGCCTCCTATGATCACCACTACAACAATAGTCACCATGTTTGCATGAGAGAGGCAAGTGAAAGCCTGGCTGTCACAAAAGAAGTACAATCCTAAGGGCACACACAGTGACCCTGAAAGAGAAGCATTAACAATTGTTGAGGTTCCTATGGGGAATACATCAGCCAGGTGTAAGGTGGGCCCGTGACCAGCTGTAACCAGAGATTTTTCAGCTCTGTTCATTATGTCTAGTCCTTGATTGGGTAAGAAGGAGGTGGGACAGGACAGTCCGCCTCAATGGTCCTCTTTGTCCATGATGTCTACATGGCACTTGTCATCCCGCAGCCCTCCACTGAGTGACAGAGAATCAGTGTAGCGAAAATGTTCATAGTTATTCTGCATGGGATGTGCAGACACTGGCACCAGCCATTTCCTCAGATCTGATGCACAACGGCAGGCTCAGCATCTATGTGGTGGGAGAGCTGCACCACAGCGGTACCAGGGAAGAAGGACTCAGGGCAGACCTGACAGGCGGGTATTAGTAATGCTCCTCCATCTCCCACACCTGCTAGTTGTTTCTGCCTCAGTTAGCTGAATTTTTATTCTTCCCTGACTGCCACAAAATCTGAGTGTGCTATTCCAGTGGCTGCATCATTCGCATTCTTTCCCAATCATTTTTATACACACTCAGACCTTCATCCAGAAGAGTCAGAGACAAGCAGGGAAAAGTGTTCCCAAAAATTATAACCAGAATTAAATCTAAATTCAGTAGACACTCCGAAGGCTTTGCCCTCCATGCTGGCAGGGAGGAGAATGAGGCACCATGACCAGCAATGGTCAGAACAGACCCAGAACGTTCAGAATTGGTCTATATAACACCATTTATCATCCACCGCTTCTGGACTGATCAGGATGCAGGAAAGACCTCATCCCTTTCTGAGGACAGCTGTCTTCAGTGACCACAGAGACGTAATAGAGAACTGTGTGGACAGGAGGAGATGAACATAGAGTTAGACAATCAGTGCCTTGGCTGTAGCTTCTGGTGAAGGGGCCACCATGGTCACACTGCCATGACCCAGCCAGCCAGGCAACTGGCAGATTGTTCTAGCACTTTCTGAGCTCCTCTTGCAGCTATGGAGAAAGCTGATGTGAGGGACAAATGAGGCAAGGCGGAGAACAAAAACAGCAGGCAGACGCCATCTCCATCAGGATACCATCACTATCCTCTCTCTGCTTACTCGTCAACTCAAATAGGAAGATATATCTCCAGTCTCTGGCTTGGTCTCCTGCTACCCAACGGCAGTGACATAGTATAGCTGGAGAGGCCCCTGCAGAACTGTGACAGCAGCTGTATGCTTCGTTGTCATATAGGAATCAGTGGGCTGACTACATTGGGAGTTAAGAGAGTTTTATTGATGCTGGCTTTTCGGCTAAAGCATTCTGTTTTGTGTGAGATGTGAGAGGCAAAATCAAGGTGGACATTCTGTAGCTATGTATGAAAAATGCCACCAGAAAAAAGACTTGGGAACCCTAGAGATTTGTGGGATACAGCTTCCAAGTACCCCTACGTCTTTATAGGAATGACCTCAACGTACGAGGAGGGGTACATGTGCAATTGCAAAATGAGACAGAATGAAGAAACTTTCTCTTTCAGGGCGCAGAACGCACACAGAAGAAAATGTGGATTTTCGGAGTGATATACTTCCTGTGACCTGTGGTGAAATGAAGGGGTATTTAATTAAGAGAAAACTGGAACGAGGTAGGTTTCAAGATCTATTTTAATTTGCATCTCCTATGTGAAGAAATACCAAGAAATAATGGAGCTATTTATTGTGAATTATGCATTGTTCAAGGAAGTGGGGCCCGAGTCTGGATTGAGAGGAGGGAGGGATCCCTAAGATGACATTTTCACACCGTAAGAAATAGTACATATCAAGCGCTCAGCCCACATGGAAGTGTCCATGAAGATGCCCAAAGATCCAAACAGACGTGCAGGGGCTTCAGTCTATGGGTGAAAATATGGCATATTTTACTTTGAATCAGAAATAAAAGGGGAAGAGACCCACAGCCTCCACCTTCATGTCCTGTGTCACTTCTGGATGACCATCAGCAGGGCAGGGAGCTTGGTATACTGACAAGATCACAGAATTTCTAATCAGAAATCTTGAGTCCCAACCTCAGCTATGCGAAGAGTGACCTAGTAAAGAAGGGGACCTTTCTCAGTTACAAAAAGGAACAATAATGCAAAACCTGACTACATGGTGTGACTTTGAGAGTTAATTTACATAATGATGGCAAAGTATTTGGTGATTCTTAAATTACAAAGCTTTGCAATCACTGTCTGTTATGATGGATCATATCAGATTTCTCTCAATATGGCTATGTGAACACCAATTAATACAAATGTTTGCATTATAACTCTTTTTAAACAGCTTTACTGAGATATAACTCATACATGACAATTCACCATTTAGAGTAAAGAATTTTTTGTTGGGTTGTTTGTTTGTTTGTTTGTTTGTTTTGTGGATTCACAATATTATACAACCACCATCACAATCTAATTTTAGAATATTTTTGTCCCTCACTAAAGGAAACCCCATGTCTCACACGAGTCAATGCCTTTCCCACCTCACCCCACCAGCCAGCCCTAAGCAACCACTAATCTACTTTCTGCTCTGTAAATCAGCATGTTCTAGGCATTTTGTATCAACTGACTCATATAACATGTGCCTGTTTCACATCATCATGGATGATGTTTTCAAGGTTCATCCATGTTCTTCATTCCTTTTTATTGTCAGCTATTATGAATAATGCTGTTTTGAATATTTGTGTAAAGTTTTTGTGTGGACATATTTTTTCAATACTTTTGGGTATATACCCTGGGATTGTATTGTTGGATGATCTGGTAATCCTATGTTTAACTTATTAATGAAAAAACAAACTATTTTCTACAGTAGAGCGGTGCTTTTATTCCCACCAGCAATGTCTGTGAGCTCCAACTTCCTCAAATTCTCACCAGCAATTGTTATTGTCTGTCTATTTTCTAATGGCCATTCTAGTGGGTGTGATGTAGTCTCTTATTGTGGTTTTGATTTTTCTAATGATTAATGTCATTAAGTATATGGCTGTCTGTGTCATACAAGTTAAATTTTCTACTGAATAATAGTTCTGAATTATTTTAAACTCTGCTACCAATGTATTAAGGAATGGAAAATCTCTGGTCAATAATGCCACTAAACTTGGATGGAAATGTTGTAATAGATGGCACAGACGTTGCCATGGTGCATCCTGAGCTGCAGGGCCCCACCTGGGATCTCAGCCGAACTCCAGCTTCTGCCTCCACATTGCCCCAGGGCCACGAGAGAGCCTCACCTGTTCTCTGTCCCCAGAATTCAATAGCAAATTGAAATCCTCTCGTTCAGAATCGCTTGCTTTTCCTTGGAGGCAATTTTGAAATAATTTTATAAGGTTAATTTTGATGGTAATGATCAATTTTTAGTTGCACAAAATTCAAAGAAATGTGCACACAAAGCTGAAATCTCCTTGGAGGAGACTTACAGGCTGGGTTTGGGGATTCTAAGTCTGAAAGGGAAGGCCCTACTCTCCTGCTGTTGATCCTGAGCCCACACTGGGCGACTCCAGATCCAGGGCGGTGGGAGCTCTATGGTTAGAGGTTTCAGCACTAACTTACCCTCGTCTACAGGAGGCACGGTGAAGTTCATAAGGGGAGAGGATGGAAAATGGTTCACACCCAGGGAATTTGAAGTTGCAGGAGGCTACGAAAACTCAAGTAACTGGAAGCTGAGTGTGCGCTGTGGTGGGAGGACCCTAAAAACGCTGATGGAGGTATTCCAGTGGCAGGGTGCGGGAGGTGTGACTTTCTTTGTGGCACTCTAAGATAAGGACATTATTTGCTCACTGAATACTTGCTGAGTTCTAGCTAAAGCCGTGAAACTCCTGAGTTTACGCTCCCTGGGGACAGGTGCCCCACACTCACACCTCAGTACAAGGCAGCACCTCAGTGTGGTCAAAGGGGCTACGTCAGGATAGATGTGGGAGCTTGGAGGAGGGGAAAGGTCATTCAGACTGGGAGGGGAAGGCGGGAGAAGAAGGGCTTGCAGACAAATTTATGCACTGAAAGAAAGAAGATCGTCTACAGCTCAACAAGTGGGCAGAAGTCGCTGCAGAGAAAGAATGGAATGAAACAAAAACCACAACTAATGTAGCTCCACAGGTTGAGGTAGATGAATTGTCTGTGATGCAGGGGAATCTATCAACTGGATGGTTTGTGAAGGGATTTAATGCCAACTAAGAAGGTTAAACTCATCACATAAACAACGCAGAACCAGTGAGGTCTCCTGAGGTGTGAAATGACATATTTAAAACAGTATCTCAGCCATGGGGCCTTGAAATGACTTCCCTATCAGCCCTATGAAACTATACTCAACATACAAAGCTCAGCTCAGATGTCACTCCTCTCTGAATATTCCCTGACTGACCTGCACGGTCATCCTTTCCCTGAACCCACTATTAATGTCCCTCTTACAGTGTTGTATACTTATCCGTCCATGCATTGTTATTTTCTTCTTAGAACCTTCTAGGGCTTGTCCATCTTTGTGTGCCCAAGATTGTCCAGAGTGTCTGACACCCAGACGGGGTGGGATACGTGTGTGTTGATTGAATAGTTCTGGTGTAAGGACTCAAGTTTGAGTGGCTGGTGTGAATGGGAAAGTGATGAGAGGTGTCAACATATTGTGAAGGAAAACCTCTCACAAGTTAAGGGTAAAAGAGGAAATCAAAAGACGCGTAATAATTTCAAGGGTGATCTGGCTACCACTAATTGAATTGTAGAAGAAGTACAGATGAGGAGAAGAAGGGAATTTCTCATTTAGACACCTTGGGTTTGAGCTGACAGTGGGACATTAAGGTTGAAACATTTATGAGGAGATTGAAAATGCCATACTCACTACACAGGATACAGGCTAACCAGTTACTTGAATCTTCTTCTCTTTCAGGAAGGATATCTACCTGTGCCTCCAAAAACACATAACAGGAAAAATGAGGTGATTGTTACTTTGTGCAAGTTGTTATTATATAACTGGTTTCATATGTTCAGCATCCTTTTTTATAATTTCTTAATATTGTTGTTATAATTAAGACTCCTCCACTTCTCTATCTGCCTTTTATTTCACATATGTCTTCATAGTTGCTACTTTGAACATCATGTTATGTGCAAGGTCATCTTGGAAAGGTAAACCATTTGAGATGGAGGTGGTAAGGAGCCATCAAAATAGATCTCAGATGAGTATTAGCTGTAGATGCAGATGTGGTAAGGGTGTCAAAATTGTAAAAGCAATATAATTATGAAATACCTAAAGCATTGCTTAATTAGGTCACAGAGTCATCTTCAATTCAAATTCAGGTTTGTTTCATCAAAGTTATTATTTTCTAACTGATGAAATCTGATGAAGCAAAGGTTTGCTCACCATCAACTACATAAAGCGGGTCTAGTAGAGAGTTTATCTTGGGACATGTACAAACCATATGTTATTTCATGAGATAGGCAACTAAAAGCATAATTCTCTTTACAAACTTTACAACTCTTCCATCTTTCCATGAAATATACATGCAGACACACAGAATTATTTGTCAAGTGGATATTATTTGCTCTTCAGGAGGATGGAAGATTGCTATACTATTTGAGGGTCTGACCTGGAAAATGTTTACTTTGTTGCCACCCCTTTGGCTCCACCTCAGGGACTGTGCTCACCTCCTTTCTATCTGTGAAAGTGATTTCTCCCTCTGTGGAAAAAGGCTATGGAGGCAACAAACAAATATGTTCAGCGCAGTGTATATTCAGGACATGGTAACGGCTTTTCCATGAGGGATATGAGTGAGAACTTGAGAAGCAGAAGGTGAGAAATGGCGTTCTTAGAGTTCAGGTAGCAATGGCCATCCGTGACTTTCACAGGCTCCTAAGATGGGTCACACATAGCTGGCCACGGGGACTTCATCGTCCACCGGGAAAGTGAGGTCCAGGTCTTTATATCGTCTGATTTTGTGGATGGTTTGAACTATCAGTCTTTGGGGCATTTCATCCACTGGGTTACTGAAGGGAAATTATTATTTGACCTGTTCACTGACTACTTAAACGAGCAGTGTGTCTACCACTCCTCAGGTGCCACGAGTCAGTCTAGATGACCTAAAAGGGCCAGCAACTTCCTGTCACCTTGTCCATAGCTGCAACACTTTTCAGTAACAAGCTGCAGATGCCTCTCTATTTTCTCTCCTTCATTAAGAACAGAAGCTCCCCAAAGTGACAGAACTCAGGACCCATTGCTACCCCTGTGGAAGCCCTGTGCCTCTCAGGACCTCTCTTGCTGATGCAGCCCCTTCCTTCTGGAAACATCAGTTTCACTCTCAGCACCAGGTAGCAGCTCTAGTGACAGCTGCAATGGTGTGAAATAATGTCATGTACTCACCCAGTACAATCATTTATTTTATGCTGTATTTGCTTAAGAGATAGCAAATAACCTTGCTACCTAAATGAAACAATACTCATCTGTTCACTGATTCAATGTATAATGCCCAATGGCCATAAGAAGAGACTGAAACAATATCCTTGACCTCAAGGGTTCTTTCAGTTTCATTGTCTAACATGGGAGAATAACTAATGGGGAAGGGACAGGGATCTTAGGCCATTCAAAGAGGTGGGCAGTGACATGGCTACCTCTCAGGCCATTGTCCAGTTGATCACACTTGCTTATGACCTCTTCGCTCTTGGCTAGAGCTAAAAGCTGAGGCTGCCTGAAGGGAGGGAGCCAAGTCATTACAGTGAACATGCAAAAGCAATGGAAGTTTAGTGGGTGGTAGTCAGTTACCCCTGAAAAATCAGTCAGCTAACATCTTGGGAATTGGATGGAGTGGAGAGGAGAGTGACCTTCTGAAAGAACTGCTATAGTGGGGACCTTCAATTCATTTTATCTTTGAGGCTGTGTCCTAGAAGAGCTGCAGAATTTCACAGGGTTTTTCTCTTGGAAACGTAGCATGGATTCAGGATCCTACACGCTGTGGTTCTTTGGGATGAACGGAGACGCAGAAGGTCATGTCACACTACCCATGGCCAAGATTCAGTGGGGAGGAGAGGGCAGCTGTTTCAGAAGGAGTACCCTCACCTCTGTTAATAATTTATCCTGGGAGAGATAATACAGGCCAATTCAACACTGACTTATAACACCCCTGCCTTAATAACCACACTTGCTCAGGCTAAATCTCAACTCCGGCTGCACCCTGGAACCACCTGAAGACCTTTGTAAAATAGCAGTGCCTGGACCCCACCTTCAGTGAAATTCTGATTTCATCAGCCTGACAAGCACTTGGACATGGATTGTTTAATAGTCCATAGATGATGCTGTTGCACAAATTACTCTCTCTATGACTTAAGAAAAATACAATGCCTGTGCTTCAACCCAGACCACTTGATTCTGAATCCTCCCCAGGTTCCCACAGTCAAGGAGCTCCATCCTCCCTGGCACCCACTGGTCATCTGTGTCCATGACATTGTCACAGGCACAGGGGCCTCCAGGCGCAGAATCCACAGTCTAGGAACCTCTCCCAGGCCCTTCAGCTCATGGGGAGCCTACACCCATGAAAATAGGATGCAGTCCTTTCTTAGAAGTTTATTCTGCCTTATTAAATTCTCAATTTACCATCTTTCCAAGAGTTATTTTAGTCACTATGGTGCAGGCAAATGGGGTTAACAGTTTATTTCAAAACCTTGTTTTACCTGCAAGATACCAAAATGATTCAGATGCCTATAAAATCATTGTCTTGTTTTGTTGGTAGTCTTTCTGTGTTAGAATCTCTGGGTTTATAGGAACAACTTTTCTGGTCTGACACACAGAGCCCTCATCCTGAACTTCACTGAGAACATGATTTCTTCTTCTGAAATCTCAACTCCATGTGTCCCTAAATAGCCCAGGGAGAAGGACATGAGTGTCCATGCAGGTTCAAAAACGGCTGTGAGTTCTAGATTCCCATCATGCTGGTCTTTGGGGTCTCACCTGAGATACATGTTTTACTTTCCAGGAGGAAAATTCGTACATATGTGAGGTCTGCCAGGATGCAGGAAAGCTGTTCTGCTGTGGTACTTGTTCAAAATACTTTCATGAGAAGTGTCACATCCCACCTGTGAAAACTGAGAGGTTTGTGAGATGAGTCACCTCCTCCCTTATTAGGGATCCTTCCTCCTAAGGCGCAGTCCCCCTGCAGAGGTCCTAAATGTGTCCTGGTGGGGAAAGAGCAGAGCCGTAGGCACGGGCTCCAGCAGCACCATTGATCCGGGAGCTCTTTAAAGACACTGGCAGCAGGAGGGTAACGTTCTCCTCTCTCCTGTGGGTGCTGAGGCCGGTGGCTGCATCCTTTGCCTACATGCTGCTTCTGTCCTTTCCTAGAACCTTTCCAGCAAGAGCTCCTGTTCACAGGGATTGCATTGCCAGTGGTTTGTGTTATGAGCTTATTCAGAAATGGCAGAAACATGGCCTGGTTCCTTCATTTTGTCTTGTTCACAACCGGCTAACAGAGGTCCAAGGTTACTAAGGGTTAAGGCCAAGTTTCCCACAATGGTACCTGGTGGGCAGGTATCTGTGTGCTCTCCGCAGGTCAGATGGGGAAAGGACAGCTCATTACTCACCCTGACACCACCCTCCACCCAGTGACACCCAGGTGCTACCCTCAATGAAAAGAGGTCATTGGCTCAACACCTTATGAGGGTCTTGGAGATTCTAAGAGGTGTCACCTTTATCCCATGCCTGTGCCCATTGGCCATTCCTGAAAGGAGAAGACGGGCAGCAGTAGGAACGGTGGTTGTTTTAGAGGCCTTGCCCTTTGCTCACTTATGCCCCACCTCTCAGTAAATCATGGAGTTGCACCTTCTGCATGATGAAGAAGTATTCCAGAAGTCAGGAGTGTCACAGGGAATCTGAGGTCCTGAAGAGGCAGATGGGGCCTGAGGAGCAGTTGGTGAGTCAGATTCAAACCCCAGGCCTTGTCCTTCCTGCTGTCACTTGAGAAGTCAGACACTCACAGGGGGAGGTGGAGAGCCCCAAAGGAAGCCTGCTCTTCTGAGCCAGGTTTCAACCACACTGAATTCTCACCAGAACTTGTTTGCAGAAAAAAGTGACTCAGCTTTTACATGACTGTTTCCTAGAACCACAGCTGTTTGGACAAACTTCCAGAAGAGTTGTATGGTCATGCCTAGCCTGGGCATGCATATGGGGTATTCTCTCCAAGCTGCTTTTCATTCAAAAACTCCTTGTTTTTCAGAAATGTGAGTTCCTCCTCATGGAACTCTATCGCCATTTAGAGGGCTCCAAATTTAAGAAGATTCCACATGATAATTATGTGAGTAAAAATAACACATCATGATTATAGGCCGACATGATGTTATCTGACCTTGACACGGGCACTTGTGGGGTGTGATCTGAAGTCCATGGGAGTGAGAGCACCAGTTGCTGTTGTCTTTAACTTGTTGTATTTCTGCTGTATTTTATGGGGAATCCACACAAGGCAGACATTGAACTATACCAGTTATTCTCCCACTGATATTTTTTCCCTAGATTGAAGTGGCTTCTCAGTGCCTAAAAGAACTTGACATGTTGGCCAACATCAAGAGGAAGCTAAATGAGCGGAGTTACCCCCAGGTGAAAGGGTGTGTGCGTGAAGTGATCCAGATCTTCCAAAGCAACACCCAATCTACCAACGTAAGTGGTTCTCCCTGCTTCATTTCATTTTCTTTTTGTTGAGTCACTCTGCCCTTTTCCTGGTGCTGGGGTATTTTAGTTTTCTTCATCCTATGACTAGCCTATATAAGTAAGGGTTCTCAAAGTGAAAGGCCTTTTAAACTCAGGATTTAATCTCATAATGGAGAGTAACACTGAGTCAGAAGGTGTCCCTGCAACCAGAGTTCAAGGTCCCTGAGAGGTCATCCCCTCAGAAAAGGCGACAGACTCCTACTGAGAACAGTTGTTTCCCATGTGCTCCAAAGCTAAGGAGAAGAGAATTGTGTCCTAAAGTCATACTACGCTTCTCATCTCTCCGCAGTTATACTCAAATAGCTCAGAAATCCCGAACTCCAGAATCCTTTGCGTGTGAATGAACCATATAGTTAACAGGAGTCACCAGCGGGGAATAAAAGTGGCAACGTGAGAGGAAGATCACTGATTGCACTTAGACACTCTGTACTATTTGACTGTTACCAAGGACGTAGATTACCTTTCTATCTCTCCCCAAAATAAACAACAACCCAAACCAGTGAGTAAGGGCCCCCAAGTGTAGTAATGATTTCCCATTTCTGTTTAGTTAACAAGAAGTAATCATGCTCTTAGGAAACAGAGCTTACTCTTAGAAGCATGAGTTTTTAAACTTACCCTGGTAACCGGGTTAAAGTAACTTGGGTATTTAAGACAAGAGTCGTGATTATTCTCAATTGCAAGGTGGCCGATGACGCTGATAATCATTGTCATTATTTTCCTCTTTTTTTTTTCTTTTCAGCACAATGACTCAGACCAACCACAGGAGAAATTTAAGAAGAATTTTAAGGAAATATTTAGTGTACAGTAAACAATGGAGAATAGTGCACTGGCCTAGTAGATGCCGTTGATGCCCTGAAAACCCTCCTTTAAGGCAGATTTCTCCTCTTCCAGCTGCTGTGAGGGTTGACTGCGGTTGCTACCTTTCCCCAGAGTATTGCTTTTGGCCAAATGGAGACTGCTTCACCTGGAGGTTACACCTCTTTTGCCTGGGGTCGGCTTCCAGCCTCGAGGTGGAACCAACCATGTGGAGTGATACACATTCCTTCCTCCCCACGGCATCAGTCTGGAGCTAGTCTTCAGCTGTGACCATATCTTTGCTAAACTTTGACATGATGCTATCCTGCTTCCCTCACCCTCCTCTTTCTGAGATAATTTCACAATAAATCACTTACTTAAGAGACTGTCTCAGGCTCTAGTGAACCCAACTTAACATAATGGTCCTAGCAAACCAGCTCCAAGAATGGAATTCTGAGTTGGATCGCTGTCTAGCCAAATGGTTACAGGCAGAATATGGACAGTTCCTGGGGTGCTATAATAATGTCATTGCCAAAAATTTCACCTGTAGAAAACTGTGTGACATATAGGGGAAGAGGCATACTAGCTGGTGTAATTGTTTCACATTTACAAAGGGAGAAATAGTTACTGTAAGAATTGTGGATTTGTGTGGTTATTGGTGAGTGCCACATATCTGCTGAAAGGAGTAAATGACAGGCTTAGCTTAAATATATTAATTACCACCTAAAGCAAAGAGACCCTCATATTTGCAGCTGGAAGGCAGACAGTAAGGAAGGCTTGGCATAGGCCTAATTTTAAGAATGCAGAACTTCAGGGAAGATTAAATTCTAAACTGAGTGGGCCCTCTTGTGCCAAAGTCACGACCCTGGTAAAGAAGGAGTGAAACCCTAAAACTCAGAATGGGGCTTTCTGGGTAGATGCACATCAGAACTGAACTATACATCCCCCTAACCCACTGAGCCTGCAAAAGGGTCCTCTGACCCCTATATTGCCCAAATTAATTCTATGCAGCTTCACTTGCCACGCATCGTCATGAGAGTGACATCATGTTTAAACCCTGCATGGCAATCCCCAACACACCACTGTGATACTCAAGGAAGACAGGGTGACCTGGAAGTCCAGCTACTTCCTTAAGATCATCCAACTTCTGGACGATTACCCAAAATGCTTCACTGTGGGAGCAGACAATGTGGGTTTCAAGCAGATATAGCAGATCTGCACATCCCTCCATGAGGAGGCAGTGGTGCTCATGGGAAAAAATGCCATGATACACAAGGCCATCCGAGGGCACCTAGAAAACAACACAGCTCTGGAGAAACTGTTGCTTCATACCTGGGGAATGCGTGCTTTGTTTTCACCAAGGAGGACCTCACTGAGATCGGGGAAATGCAACTGGCCAAGAAGGTACCAGTAGTCACCCATGCTGGTGCCATTGCCCCTTGTGTAGTCACTGTGTCATCCCAGAATACTGGTCTGGGGCCCGAGACGAACACCTTCCGGGCTTTGGCATCACCACTAATCTAGGGGCACCATTGAATCCTGAGTGATGTGCAGCTGATTAAGACTGGAGACAAGGTGGGAGCCAGTGAAACCACACTGCTGAACATGCTGAACATGTCCCCCTTGTCTTCTGGGCAGACCATCCAGCAGGTGTTGCACAATGGCAGCATCTACAACCCGGAAGTGCTTGATATCACAGAGGAAACTGCGTTCCCATTTCCTGGTGAGTATCTGCAATGTGGCCAGCGCATGTCTTCAGATTGGTTACCCACCGTTGAATAAGCACTCCATTCTATCATCTATGGGTACAAGGAGTACTGGCTTTGCCTCTGGAGACTGATTACACCTTCCCACTTGCTGAAAAGGCCAAGGCCTCCTTGGCTGACCTTCTGCATTGGTGGCTGCCACTTCTTTGGCCACCGCCACCACTGCTGCTCCTGCTGCAGCCCCATCCAAGGTTGAAGCAAAGGAAGAGTTCAAGGAGTTGGATGAGAATATGTATTTGGTCTCCTTGACTAATCCCCAAAAAGCAACCAGGACAGCCAACTTTATTTGTGAAACAAGGTAATAAAGCCATACTGCTTTAAAAAAAAAAAAAAAAAGACTATGCAGAGTCATCTCAGCATGTCCAAATGAAGAATACAGTAGATGAACCTGCTAGCTGAAAAGATGGCTTCCTCCAATGGAACTGCAGAAGTGGCCAACGTGTACAAGCAGGTGCAAAGAGATTGTGTGTGGGAGTGGATCCTGGACAAACAATGTTAGATTGTAAACTGAGAGGGGCAGTAGGAGGGAGGGGAGAAAGTGCTAATACAGGCACACCCTCCTGGGCCATCAAGATTAATTAGACCGGCAAGGTGCAAAAGTGATGATTCTAGTATGCTCCTGGGTAGCGCTTAGATGAAGTGGAAGAAGAGATACCAGGCTTCTCTGGGCCAACAATGGGAAAAGAGAATCTGAACGCCTAGTGAAGATGGCATGGCTCTACCCTCTACAACTGGAAAACCTATCCCTCAGGTGACTGTGTCCTCAGGAGGCCTCAGAGAAACTAACATAACAATGTAATGAGGAATGCACTATTTAGGGGGCAAATGCATCCTTGAGATGCTCAGTGGGGACTCTCCTCTGTAGGTTGGGATAATGTAGGAAAGCTTTACACAGCTGGATTCCCAAGTACCAAATGAAACAATAGGATTCCAAAATAATTGAAGCCAGGTGCCCACATTTGACTGTCAGACAAGATGAATAATTGCTATAATGTGTAGCAAGCTTAGAATGACAACCAGGGGAGCTGGACGATAGAAGCCTAAGGAAATAGCTAATAGAAAATGGTGTTCTTATACTCAAGACAGATGGGCAGCCAACAAGGATATTGTTTCATATATACACCAATAAAAGAGATTACAAAATGATGATCAGATGGCTGAGGTGTACCTTAATGAGAGTCAACATTCCTTGCCCACTTTCCAAACCTGAGTCAATTCTTAACCCAGAACCTGCTGATGGAAATGTGAGTAGTTCTTTTAAGAAAAACACCTTGCAAATGTACATAGTAGTGATTCCCTGAGTTATTCACCAAAGCATCTATGGTCATTTATTGAAATAACCACATGCAAGACCAAAAAAACCCAAAAACAGACAAATAAACAAAAAAAAAAACCACACAGAACTTTTAAGGGCTATTGCTACAGCGTTTGAGTTGATGCCAATGCCTATAGACCCAAAACACCACCATATCCCCTGTCAGAATAGAATATATGGAGGTAAGGTAACATCCATCTAACAGTGAGTCCACACCATCCATGGAACCACCCAGCAGTCAGTTTCAAGTTCCTAAATGTATAATCACTACATACGTAGATAGCAGTTTGCAGAACTGGATTTGAAATAACAAAGACTGTCGGGCCGGCCGAGTGGCTCAGTTGATTAAGAACTCACTCAAGAGTGGGAACTCTGAGCAACAGCATTTCGATGCCCAGCCTGAGTTGAGCTGCTGCTGAGCTGCCAACAGGAGGCATGATGGCTCAGCTAAAAAAAAAGGAAGAAAGAAAGAAAGAAAGAAAGAAAGAAAGAAAGAAAGAAAGAAAGAAAGAAAGAAAGAAAGAAAGAAAGAAAGAAGGAAAGAAGAAAGAAAGAAAGAAAAATGACTATCTTAAGAAAAGCCTAAAAGAAGCACCTTAATATTAGATTTCACCATAATTACTGTTATGGTGAAAACTAATATGAAAACAGTATTGTATTCCTGGGGAAGGAAGGAATGACAGAGGTTGGTGCCATCTGCAAAGATGAAAGGATATAAGAATTGTAATTCCCTTTATATCTCCATTTAATACAGCAGCTGGGATTAGGCAAAACCTAGGTGATTCATGGCTAATAGATAACTATTAGAAACTTCGCAAAACTGGGGCTTGTAGCTCCCAGCACTCAGATCTTGGTGGACTGCTTTCTTGCTTATAGCATTCCTTACGCAGAGATCTCAGCTAGTGGCCCTTCCCTTCTGCAGAGCCGAGCCAGTGGTGCCACCTGGCCAGAGAGCTCAGTTGGCAGTTCTGCCTGATTTGGGTCCCCAGTCAGGTCCTACCAGCCATGGAGCCTGTTCTACTACCCTGATGAGCCAGAAAAGCAAATTTGCCGGCCCTCCCAACTGCTGAGTGTATCTCTAGTTGTGACCATTTAGAAGGCTTAGCCAAAGACCACAGGAAGCCATGGCAACAAGCTATTTGGATCTACAGAGCCAAATCTATTGGGTCGTCAGGAGAGTCATGACATATATTCCTATGTTTTTAGTGCAAAAATGCTTTGTGACTTTCCCAATGACCCAATATTTCCCTGCCCAGCAGCAGAGCCCAGCCTATGGCCATGTCCAGTTGACTAACATAGCCTGTGGCCTCACCCATTCAGGGAGCCTAGCCAGTGAGCCCACACAATCATACAACATGGCTTGTAGACCCACCCAATGAAGGAGCCTGGACAGCGACCCTGACCAGCTACAAAGCAGTCTCTAGCCCCACCCAACTGCAAGATGCAACCGGAATCCTCACCAAGCAGAAAGTTGGCCAGCAATGATGTCCAACACCAGAGCACAGCAAGCAACCTAACTGATTGTGAAGCCAAGCCTGTGGCCCTACCAACTTGAAGGAACAACCACTGGCCCTGCCAGATCTCAGATCACAACTTAAGGCCCAGTCCAATTGTGAAGACCTTTCTAGAGCCCCCCCAAGCATGGATTCCACTGAGAGACATCATCAGGCTGGGGAGCATAATTTGAATTTCCACCCAGCCAGGAGCTATTGCAGAGCCCAGCCTGTATCCACAACCAATCTTAGAGTTCAGCCCATGGTACCACCTTCCCACAGAACACAGGCTTCAGTTCATTCGAACAGAGGTGATTGCAGAGCCGAGCAAGTGGATCCACGAGGTCCCAGAGCACAGACAGCAGCCATGCCTGATCAGGGAGACCAACCAGCACATGACCCTATCACAGAGTTCAGCCAGCACACAACCACCAACCAGTGTCCTTGCCCAACTGAGACCCTGATAACATGACCCACCTGCCCATGGATGCATCCAGCTCTCTTGTCCTGCATTCCAACCTGAGCTGACTGATGAAGGCCTTTTCCTGATGAAACAAACCTGCACGGCTGGAAGAGGAGACCACTTACTCATGTGCACTGATACCAACACAAAGAATAAAAGATCATGAAGATTCAGGTAAACATGACACCACGAGAGGGAACTAATAAATTCTAATTATGACCCTTTAAAAAATGGAGATCAAAAACTGTCTGACAAAGAATTCAGAATAATTCTCTTAAAAAAGTTCAGTGAACTACAGAAATCCACCAACAATTAAATGAAATTTTAAAAGTGAATAAACAAAATG